TTTAGAATACAAGAGTAGGGGGTCATATAATCCCCACATCCTTTAAACCACAAAAACACACAAACAAAAACCTAAAAAGTGAAGTGCTACAGAGTCTCTTACCTAAAGAATGTGCAGCCGTGGTTTTGGAGCTGAAAAACCGGCCAAGCCCCAGATCTCCAAGTTTCACCACTCCAGTGGCTGTAATGAATACATTAGCTGGTTTTATATCTGGGAACAAATAGAGACCAGGTGAAATGCAAGGGATTCAAAAGGGCTTTTCAATTTTCCCAATATAATGTAAAATGTACCTTAAAACTGAAATTAAGTTTGAAGTTTGAACTAATCTTTATTTTGAATAAGTCTGAGATATTCTAATATTTCAGAGTTCTCAGTCCTCTGTTAAGAGAATCATCAGAGAAGCAACAAGAAGAGTGATATTAAATTTCATTTAGAGGCATTTCCATTTTAGATCATCTGCTATGCAATCCAGAGCATAAAATAAACAGGCCTTTTCAAATAGACTTAAAATGAAATATTTTACAAAGAAGTAATTTATGGTTATATTTAGATAAAAATACCATCATAACAATATTATGCATATAATTACTCAGATAGCTTCGGAAATTTTAATTGTTTAAATACAGGTATATTGAAATTTTCTGCACCCCCAAATCAGTGAATTAATTCCTTAGCCATCTGATAATCAATAACATAGTCAGAGCAAATGCTAAAGATTGAAGAGGTGAGTGGTCCACAGAGACATCGTCCACTTGCGTAGGGGTGGGGACAAAAAGCACTCTTCCTTACCCACTAGGCTGCTTTTTGCATCCACTGGATTTTTCTGTGCCAACATAACCAGCACAGTGTTTAGAACACTTATGCAGAAAAAATGACTACTTTTCGTTCTTACTTAAAATCAAGTAGGGTTTTATTCAAAGGTTTATTCTTATTCCACTAAAATTATAATTTGGAAACAAATGATCTGTGGAAGCACGATATTAATGCAAAGCTACTAGGCACCAATCTTAAGTTATCTAGTAAGCGGCATCATGTAGGGCGCTATTCAGGGCTCGCCCCGGGCCGTCCGTCTCACCTCTGTGCATGACGCGTCGCGAATGCATATGCTCCAAGGCGCTGCAGAGCTGGACGAAGTATTTCCAGACAGTTCTTTCCGGAATCAACCTCTTCTGCTTCTTAAAATGCTTTTGGAAAATGAAAATGAGAACGGTCGTAACTAACATTTCTTAGCACTGAGTCTAAAAAGCTGCAGTGGAAAAGCATCTACATTCGTTAACCTATAATCAACTAAAAAGCACCTGATTTTCCACACTGAATGACTAAGAATTTTGCCAAGTAACTCTCCATCTTTGCAAAGTCCAACTATTTAGAAACATTAACATTTATCTAAATTCCTTATCCAAAAGGGGAAAATGTCAAACTTCATTTTAAGAAAAACCAGACTTGAAGGTAATCAAGCAGCCATCAAGCTCAGAAGCAACAAAGCCCACATGGAAGATGCACACCAGCCTGTGCAACCACGAGGTGTCTGTCGAAGGGATCAGGTATAAGGCATCATCAGAACAAAAAATCTTACCATAGTGAATGATGGGGGG